GAGGGCCACACCCCCACTACAGAGGAAGGCAAGGACTCTCACAGTTTGATCATGAGGTAAAATTTCTTCCTGATCCCAAATGTTGTGATTAGTTTGACCCTGAGCAGAGGGGTAGGGCCCTCTAGCCTGGAACCTCCAGGTTTTTGTCCCAACAGCTAGGAACAGACATGGCACACAGACAGGTCCAAGTGACCAGAAACTGGTTTAAACCTGTAACAGAACAGATGTTCAGTGCATATAAACCAGTTTGAAAATGGCTGAAACCAGTTTGAGATAAATCTGGTTGAATGTAGTATCAGACTTAACTGATTTGGCTCAAACCAGTTTATGCAATGTCTGTCCCAAACCCCTTCCTGCTTTAAGTTAAATCAGAATCCTCCAGCATCCCAGATGCTTTGCAACTCTGGGTGGGGCTCTGCTCTCTGCTCCAGCCCAGGAGGGCTGGCCCCTCCCCTGTGGTCCCTGGCTGCAGCTTCAGCAGAGACTGCAGGTACAGTGGCATCTGCCTGGCTTCCCCCTACTCCCTCCTTTCTCCCTCACTACTTCCTGTTCAAGCAGGAATCCTCCCCCCCGCCTTACACACACACATCTCAGCATTAGCTAGCATACAACATGCTGGCTACAGTCCATGCTGTGGGACACAGGACAAAGGCAGACAGGACAATGTTGGTTTACGACTTTTTTTTGGAGCTAATCAGTAGGTAGTTGGTAATGTCCCTCCATTCATTCCTTGGAAAAAGTTGTGTAAGAAGAGCTTGAACTAATGGGAGAAGCTTTTGTTTTGCTGATGGGCTCATAAATGCTCTGTTATCAACTCCCTGTGTAACTCCCTGTTGTGTAACTCAATGCTCTGTTATCAAGAGCAAGGTGTTGTGGGGGAGGGGGAACCCCTCTCTAATGAGTCCTTGTGGGGCCTGGCCATCCTCCTCCCTTAGCTCAGCACCATGGAATAGAAAGGAGGGCTGCTCTAGTGCCCCCCAGCTTCTAACCTGAGCCACCTTAGGTGCCTGTACACAAATACACAGAGCCTGGAAAACAAGCAGGAAAAACTGGAAGTCCTTGCACAATCACAGAACTAGGACATGAATGGAATAACAGAGACTTTGTGGGATAACTCGTGACTGGAGCACTGTCATGGATGGGTAAAAACTGTTCAGGAAGGACAGGCAGGGGAGAAGAGGATGAGGAGTTGTACTGTATGCAAAAGAGCCATGTGATTGCTCAGAGCTCCAGTATGAAACTGGATATAGGCCTGTTGAAAGTCTCTGGTTAGGGTGAGAGGGGAGAGCAACAAGGGTGATGTCATGGTGGGGATCTGCTATACACCACCAAACCAGGAGGCTTTCTCAAGGATGAGGAATGGTGGACAAGGCTTTCTTCAAACAGATAGTGGAAGTTTCATCATCACAAGCCCTGGTTCTCATGGGGGACTTCAATCACCCTGACATCTGCTGGGAGGGCAATACAGCAGTGCACAGGTGATCCAGGAAGTTTTTGAAGTGTTGGTGACAACTTCCTGGTGCAAGTGCTGGAGTGGCCAACTAGAGGCCAATATCTTCTTGACCTGCTGCTCTCAAACAGGGAAGAATTAGTGGGCAATGTAGTAGTGGATGGCAACTTGGACAGCAGTGACCACAGTATAATAGAGTTCAGGATCCTGAGGAAAGGAAGGATGGAGAGCAGCAGAGTAAGGACCCTGGACTTCAGAAAAGAAGACTTCAACTCACTTGGGGAACTCATGGGCAGGATCCCCTAGGAAGCCAGTCTGAGTGGGAGATGGATCTAGGAGAGCTGGCTATAATTTAAAGCAGCTTTACTGGGGATGCAGGAACCAACCCTCCCGATGTGCGGGTAGACTAGCAGGTATGGCAGAAGACCAGCTTGGCTTAGCAGGGAACACTTCAGTAAACTAAATCTCAAAAAGGAAGCTTATAAGAAGTGGATATTTGGACAGATAACTAGAGAAGAATATAAGAGCATTGCTCAGGCATGCTGGGATGAAGTCAGAAAGGCCAAAGTGCAATTGGAGTTGCAACTAGCAAAGGACATAAAGGGTAACAAGAAGAGTTTCTACAAGTGTATGCTGGTCGCAAGAGGGAGGATCAGGGAACATGGGGGTCCCTTATTGAATGCAGGAGGCAACATTGTAAGAGGATGCAGAAAAGGCAGATGTATTCAATGCCTATTTTGCCTCAGTTTTCACAGGCAAGGTCAGCTACCCAGACTACTGCACCAGGCAATATAGTTTGGGGAGGACGTGAGCGGCCAATAGTGGTGAAAAAATAGGTTAGGGACTTTTTAGAAAATATTAACATATACAAGTCTATGGGGCCAAATGGGATGCACCTGAGGGTGCTGAGGGAGTTGACTGATGTGATTGCAGAGCCACTGGTCATCATCTTTGAAAACTCATGGCGTCAGATGTTCTGGATGATTGGAAAACAACAAACAGTACCCATATTAAGAAAGGGAAAAAAGAGGATCCAGAGAACTACAGACAAGTCAGCCTTACCCCAGTCTCTGGAAAAATCAAAGAGAAGATCCTCAAGGAATCCATTTCTAAGCACTTGGAGGAAAACAAAAGAAATTGATTAAGAACGGTCTGCATGAATTCTCCAAGGGCAAGTTATGCCTGACCGACCTGATTGCCTTCTATGATGAGGTGACTGACTCTGTGGATGCAGGGAGACCAGTGGATGTGGTATACCTTGATTATAGTGAGGCTTTTGATAGTCTCCCACAACATTCTCTCAGGCAAACCAAGGAAGTACGGGCTGGATGAATGGACTGTAAGGTGGATAGAAAACTGACTGGAGCATCATGTCCTTTGCTAGAGGGTAATAACCAATAGCTCAATGTCTAGTTGGCAGCCGGTATCAGATGAAGTGCCCTGGGGTCCATCCTTGGGTCGGTTTTGTTCAATGTCTTCATCAAGGACCTGGAAGATGGCACAGAGTCACCCTCAGCAAATTTGCACATGACACCAAGCTGTGGGGAGTAGTAGATACACGCTGGAGGGTAGGGCTAGGATTCAGAGAGACATAGACAAATTGGAGGATTGGGCCCAAAGGAATCACATGAGGTTCAACAAGACAAGTGCAAAGTCCTGTGCTTAGGATGGAACAATCCCATGCATCAGTACAGGCTGGGGGCCAACTGGCTGGGCAGCTACTTTGCTGAAAAGGACCTTCAGGTTACAGTAGACAATAAGCTGACTATGAGCCAGCAGTGTGCCCTTGTTGCCAAAAAGGCTAATGGCATACGGGGCTGCATTGGTAGGAGTGTTGCCAGCAGGTCAAGGGGACTGATTACCTCTGTTGCCCAGCAGAAGTGCCAGGCTGGATGATTGGGCTACAGGGGTTGATTTCAGCCTGCAGGCTATGTGTTTGACACCTGTGCTTTAAACTCCATAGCTCTTATTATCTACCAGCAAGCCATGTGGATGGGGGTGCTCCTGGGTTTCTAACTTTTGTTCTTTATAGAGCACTCCAGGCATAGTTACTCTTAGATCATCCCTGACCAATACTTATCCAAACTCCTTTTGAAAACCCTCCCTGGGTAGTCTGTTCCACTGCCTCACTCATAACAGTGAAGATGTTTTTCCTCATAGGCAATCTAAGCCTACTTTGCTGCAACTTCCAGCTATTGGTCTGCATTGTGCTTTCAGCAGCAACAGAGAAAAGGTGTTCTCCATCTTCTTTATGGCAGCCCTTCAGATATTTGAAGATGGCTATCATATCCCCTCTTAATTGCCTTTTCTGAAAGCTGAACATGCTTATTTCTTTTAACCTTTCCTTATATGGCTCTTTATCTCTCTTGTCATTAACCTCTGGACCAGGGGTGGGCAAAATGTGGCCTGTGGGCCAGATGCAGCCCACCAAGCCATTCTGTCTAGCCTACAGAGCCCCTAAAAAATTTAGAAAATCAATATTAACCTGCCCTGGGCTGTCTGTCGATGGCTGGCCGAAACTCAGTAAGCGGCCCTCTGCCCAAAATAATTACCCGCCCCTGCTCTGGACCCTCTCTAACTTCTCTACATCCTTTTTAAAATGTGGATCTCACAACTGCACACAGTACTCCAGATGAGGCCTAACCAGTGCTGAGTAAAGAAGCACTATCACCTTCCATGTCTTGTACCTAATGCCTGTATTGATGCAGTCCAAAACTGCATTTGCCTTCTGTGCAGTTGTGTCACATTGCAGGCTCATATCAAATCTGTGATTCTTCCTGATGGGTAGCACCTACATTTGTCAGGGTTGAACTTCATCGTGTTGGCCTTAGCCGAGCTTTCCAGTCTGTCAGGATCCTTCTGAATTGTGCTTCTATCCTCACAATTCTTTCCAGTTTTATGTTGTCTGTGAATTTGCTCAAGCAGCTCCATTCCAGCATCCAAATTGTTAATAAACATACTGAACAGCAGTGGACCCAGCACAGACCTCTATGGGACCCCACTCGAAACCTCCTGCCATTCTGGTATGGTAAATAGAATTTGATTTTAGCAGTTGGTATCTCATAGCCTTTCAGAAATTTTTACTGCTATTTGAAAGCTAAGAATGTGTGTCTTAGGTGTTCTAAAAATTTGTTTCCATCTCTAGCAGTTCCAGGCTATCAGCCTATTTAAATAAAATGTGTATTGGAGGAAAAAAAGCAAAATGATAATCAGAATAACATGCTTTTAAGAGCTCTTCATTCATGAACCTCCACTGGTAGGTGAAGCATATATGGTACAGAAATTACATGCTGTGCAGGGTTATGGTACCTAGTGGTTTACAAGAAACTGGTCCGCAAAAGACTCCTTAGTCCCTTAATCTAAGAATTGTAGTTGTTTGGCCTCGATCCAACACTGAATATAAGTCTTTGAACCGGTAAAACTGTCAGTCCTTGTATCCAACATGTAAGTTGCTATATTTTTACTGTAATTAAAGATTACAATAAATATTAGTAAAGTGAGTAACCAGCTTGTGTGTTTGCATTTTCTCTACTTCTTGCTTGTGTTTCAGGCTAAGCTACATGAATCATGCAGAAGATCTGGCCTCCAAACTGCTCCAGTGTTTCCCAAAGAACAGATTGTCAGCACAGGCAGCCCTGAGCCATGAGTATTTCAGTGATCTACCCCCACGGCTATGGGAGCTAACTGATAGTAAGTATAACAAAACCTCCAAGATGAATAAAAACAGGGAAATCAGGGGTGGGGGTGTGTACATGTGTGCGCCCATGCAAGAGTGTGTGTGTCTCTGTGTAAAATTCTGTAGTTAAAATTGAACAGTTTGCTTGACACAGGAAAAATGGATTCTTTTTTGCTATCTCTGCTCTGCAGTCTGCAGCTAGCTATCTTTGTATTTGATTATGTGTGCAGCCAAGAGAATTATCTGAATTGTCATAAAGCAAAAGGAAAAATACAATTTACATATTTAGTGCTTTTCATTTCATAACATACAGTACTTTTTAACTAGCTGCAGCATGCAGGATAAAAATCCAACAGTGTTTGATTCTCAGACACTATCACAATAACCTTTTAAAAAGACCTGGCATTTGGAAGACTGAAAAACACAAAGTAGACAATTGGTCAGTTTGCTGAATTGAAATGTATAAGATGACTTGCAGCTTATTTTATTAGCTGGGAATGTGTTCAGTATTCACACACGTCTTTGTCTTATTAAACAAAATGCATTTCAGTTGTCTTAACCAAAATGCTCCTCTCAGCACACATGCTGTTAATTGCTTAAATGTTTGTGAAGTATTTATATCACAGATGGCTTTATCTTTTTTCCAGAGTGCTAAAAAAATCACAAGTATGAAATCTGGCAAAAAACCTATTTTGAATGCATCATAATGATGTATTTTTGATTCAGAGACCATTTTAGTACCATAAATGCATTTTACAGGGGAATTGTATTCTGATTTTTATTTACATCAATTTTATTGAAATGTAATCTTGTACTGTAACCATATATACTGTGCTCAGTTATCAAACACAAGCCCCTTAGTAGGAGTTCCAAATCTAATATGAGAATGTGACTGTGGCATTTATGAGCCTAAACATTGCTGATTTGATCTATCAGATATGAGATTTGGGCATTTAAGTTTGGAAAAATTGCAGTAGTAATAAATAATAGATTTTGTTTGCATCACTAAAATAGCCTGCTATCCGGTAGTGTAACTAGGGTGAAGCACCCAGGATAGCCTCCCCAGATGCTGGCTGGGTGACAGTATGTGTTGGGGGCAAAAAAGCTGCTGTGCAACAGCAAAATTGCACTGACAGCATGGTGACAACTGGAAGTTAACCCTGGATACCAACCCACATCTTCACACCTCTATTGCCATCTTCTATATTTGCTGGCTGGAGTTCATAAGTACACTTTGAGCCATCTTGATAGACTAGTGTTCCAGCAAACCTACTCAATAAGACACAGCTTCATTTTGTAGAATGTACACATACAGAAAAATGTAAAACTTGTTACTTTTCACAGGTTATATTTTCCACTTCGTGCTGCACTGCAAGTAGATTTTCAGTTTATTTTCAGATTTCTGGATTTAAGACTCTCACCTTCTCCCACATCAGCCTTCCTACCAACCTACCCAGCTTTTGACCCTTGCTCAAGTGCTGAAAATCCAAACATTTCAGTGCAAGTTAGTGAGGCTGTTGAGAAACTGTCTTTGCTTGGAAGTATGATGCAAAGAGATTCATTAGTTCATAACTAATGAAACATCAAACATGACAGTCAGTTACCCCTTTTCCACTGGAAAACAAAAATCACTCTGCATTGGTGACATCTCAATCCTGTCTGACTGTATGATATAGTCAAGCCAGGATTTTGATAGTCTATGAATTCTGAATTCTGTAGTAGTACTTTTCTGTTAATATGGACTTATTACCCACTTGCCACTTAGTTTATCAGTCAGTGGTTAAATCCAGTTCTATCAGTGAAGTAAATGCCTACACATTATCACTCTGCAGCAGGCTGCCAACAGAGACAGTCTTGTCCTAGTCATTAGCAAGCACAATGTATGCAGAACACCAGAGGGGAATTAAAACCACAAAAAATACCTCAGGGTGGTATTTTTAATATGAGAATTTAATTTGTAATTTCACAGATTAAGAATTTTGGCTGCATTAATCCTTTTATCAGCTCACAGCAGGTTATTTGCAGAAGCATAACCATAAGGCGATATTCATTGGCAGAAACACGTCTTTGCATAACGTTAAACATCAGGAGCAGTGAAACCTTTTGAAGGGGGGAGAATAAAGATGAAAAATCATTATATTTTAAAGCAAGGTTCTGCTAAATGCCTCCAGTAAAATTTTTGAGTTACAGAAAGACTATTTCTGTGTCTAGTAGATAATCATTATGAAGCATAAATCCAGATGCAAGAAAGGACAATCCCAGTATCAAATAGTACAATCATTTCTATTTAATACAACTTGGATATACTTGTAAACATATTTACAAAACAAAGAAATCATATACTTTGGAGAATTTAGAAAATATTTACTTTGTACTGAAAATGACTAGTTTTGGTAGTTTTAGTTATCTAGGTTAATACTTTATCTAGGCTTCTGGAAAACTTATTTTTCTGTAAGTGCAATAGCACTTCACACACAATACAGTCAACTGCCTTGCATTCAAATATTATAACAGATTTTCAAATCCATTTAATAGATGCTATTTAGCATTATTCAACAAAGTCCTAATGCTAAATTTGGAACTAAGAGATCTAGCAAAGATGGTTTGTGAAGAATTAAAAAATGTGGGGAAAAAGAAATGGGTTTCTAAAGTTAGAACTGGTTTTGAAAAAAAAGTTGACCTAACACTTTCCCATTGGAAATATAAATCACTGAATTTGAAAAAGAAAATGCTTTTCTTTTCCTAAAAACCGTGTCAAATAACATTGTTTCAATTTGCTAATTTTTTTACTTTTATATTATAAATGTTTATGTTGTGTCTATCATTTTAAGTGTTCAGTATTTTATTTTATACTTCTTTTACCTAATAAAAATAAACTGTTTTTTCATTATCAACATGTAGTTGATAAAATTCAGCATTTTGACTTTGTTCCATTTTGGAATAAAAACATTTTGAAATGTCATATTTTTCCTATGGGTTGGAAACTCTAGTTTCAGGGCAGCAAATATACTGAATGAAATGCCTCAAATATTTTTTTGTGTTAGAAACATAAGCTTCTTGCAGGCATTAAAAAAAAAATGGCACTTTAAATTCAGCACATCCCCGTGCTGAGTCCCACACATGCCCAGAAGAGGCAGTGCCTTAGCTGGACCCAGCTCACCCAACATCTGTATAGATCAGGCACTTCAATGGGGCTTTTTTGGCACTTTTATCTAATAGTTGTTTGAATCAGCTTTAGTTAAAGTGGCAAAAAGCCTTATTGAAGCACCTGATCTATACAGATGCTGCAGAGCCAGGGTGAAGTAATGCACTGCTGCTTCCAGTAAAGCATGGTTTTGTTTTGTTTTTTAATATCTGCAAGCAGCCATAATGAACACATACAATGGAAAAATGGTGCTGGGAGACCTACCTTAGTATACTATAAAGTCTAGAAATACAGCACAGTACATTAGTGCAACCAAGACAACACAGCCTTGTAATCACCTCAGACCCATATATTAAATGTGTCAAATTGCATTTTCTATTAAAAATAATTAACTGTAGTCTTCACTCTTTTCTACTTTTATGCTGAAGTGAGTATATAAAAATGTAGTTGTATAAAATACATAAATAATTTGTAGCAAGGTTAGGGTGATATTGTAGCCATGATGGTCTAGGAAAAATGAGAGGCGGGGATTTTTGTAGGTGATATCTGTAATAGGACCAGCTGTATAGTTGGGAGGGATATAGACACATTTTTGGATATGGACTGTCCATCCCAACTATACAGCCGGTCCAATTAAAGATATCACCCACAAAAATCCTTGCCTCTCTAAATAATTTATAACATTTTTTCTGATTTAAAAAAACAAGAAAACAATATTCAATGTGTGTTATTAGTACCATAAAAGGGGATATGTAATGTCAAAACTAGGGGTTGAAGTGGGCAATTTAACACTGTCTCCATCATCTGGAGGACAAAGAAAATTATAAGATTTTCGGTCTAAACTCCAAACTCACATGTGTAATTTTGCTCCTACAATCACGTGAGCCCATAGATTAGATTTTGATAGTAACAATCTTATTATACATAGGCACTAATGTTTGCAAAAAAGTATCAAAAGAATATGGTTTCTCTCAACCAGTCTGAAGAACTGGGTTTAATCTCATCAGTTTCTGTTCTTGACCATTTGCATTCTTTGACATTCTCAGCTAATATTGTCATGTCCATTAATAATTACTTTCCTGACATTACCCTGAAATTTTGATCTCGATTTTTCTAGCTTATCAGTTACACATCTGAAAGAACAGGCATATATTCTGTAGCTACATTTTCAGTTATGAACTACCTATTTTTAAAACATGTCTAATGGCCCTTACCATAGTAGTTTTCTCCTTTTCAAGGAAAAGAAGGTAAATACAGATAATTAGTTCCACAGACAGTAGAGATTGGAAAACAGAATATATAAGGTCTATGGACTAGATCTGTTTTATTTTAGACATACTGCTGTGTTTTAAAGGTACTTCAAAAATGATAGAAAAATGTGAATCATACATTTGAGTAAGTGAACAAGAAAACAAACTGGAAACCCAACTTGTTATAACTTTGTAACCTTTCCTAACACAACCTTCAGCAGAATCTATCCTATTTCCTTCTTGTTGAAGATTTAAAAACAGTTTTTTGAAGAAGTACAAGTACAGTTGTATCTGCTCATTTTTTTATGTCTGCCTTGAATATTAACTGAATATTGTAAAGAGAAAAACTGTATAAGAAAACAACAAACGTAACTTTTTAAATTGCCACTTTTCCCCACAGTGTCCTCTATTTTTACTGTACCGAATGTAAGATTACAACCAGAGGCTGGCGAGAGCATGAAAGTCTTTGGGAAAAACAATAGTTATGGCAAAAGTCTATCAAACAGCAAGCACTGAAAAATACTTAGACTTACTACAGAAAGTGCAGGTAAGATGTACTTATCTGGTAGAATTTCTGATTGCAATGTTTACTTTAATTTTTGTTTGGAACTGAGGAAAAAAAGGTTAAGTCCACTTCTGTTGTAGATGACTTATCCTCAAGGATGTAAAACTGAGCAAAGATTTTTGCAGACACATGTAAGTCCTAGGCAAAGAGAATAGGTGTGTTGGAACAATAGGACTAACAGCTTGGGATGTTGTGCTGTTGAGTTTACAGAAGCCAGTACGAAGCTTCTCACTAGTGCAGCAGGAAGGCTTTGTGACAAGCAGGTTCATAGAGAGAGCAATTGATTCCTAGAGAGGTATTGACAAAAGAAGGCATTTCTTGCTATTTCTGCTAGTAGGCTTGTGTATAGGGATAAATGAGTCCAGTTAAACCAAGTTTTTACCACCATGACCAATGGAGGTCTGTTACCCCTAATGGGAGGAGTGTTTCGTATCAGTATACTTCCTTTCCCACTCGCATGGCTTTAGTTTTGCTTGAGTTTGGTTTGAATCTCTTGCCCCTCAGACCCACATACTTCAGCACTGAAATTACGCTGGTTACAGTATCAGATAGTCTAATAGCACAGTAGGGATGTAAGTGCTTTCAGGATAAAGGAGATACCTGGCATGTTGCAAATGTAAGTTAAATTCAATGGATGGCTAATTTCCTATTAATTTGGAAATGTCTATTTGCATTTTGTCCAGCCTGTGGGATTAGTGGGACTTTCCTCTTTTAAAGCAGCACTGCCCCTTTTCCAGTTGCACCAACAAGCCTTTTGCCATCTTAATACTTCTTAAAAGTGAAGTTAGACATCTTTTTTTCATAGTTACAGAATTCCAAATCTGTACAATGTTGGCAAGAGTTGTATTAGCACTCAGTGCTCTTAATAATTTGTGGAAACATCCAGTACATATCTCATGCTGGCTTTGTTATTTTAAAATGTAACCCAATGATAAAATGGTCAAACAGCAGAATGCATTTACCTTGCCCTTCCATTTTTGAATGTTAAAAAGGTCTCTTGCTGTTCTTTAAAATTGTTGGCATCAAACATTTAACAAGGTACAAATGAGAAGAGAGGGAAATTAAAATGCTGGTGTATCACCTGTCGTGAAAAACCCTAATATATTATGTAATCAATTACGTATATTGTTGAATTTTATTAGGTATCTAGGGATGTTGCATTATCAGATATGGACTCTCCTGAATGAATTGTAAGGGTGTGTGCCTGGGGGAGGGGGTCTTGTAAGGCAAATAGTGACTTTTAAGGACTGAAGTCATTAGAGTTCAGTCCTGGCAGCCTGCCCCAATTATTGCACATGCTCTTCTCTAGCAAACCATTTAAGAGTTTATAATGTCAGAAATGAAGCTGCCTCAGAGTAGCCTGTTTACATCTTTATTGACAAGCTAATCCCTACTTTTTCCTGGAGCTGTGTCCCTGCAGATGTCTCTTCAACCTTGCCTGTTTCAGTGTGACATATCATTCATCTAAAGTAAATTTTGAATGTGCCCATCTGTGCTAAGACTTTTTGTTTGGAAGCTTAGGTACAGCCTCTCATTTCTGTTACCTCCAGACACATTTCATCTTTCCCTTGTACACAATTTGCAATGAAAGATCCTGTTTGAAAGCAAGCACTTAAATAATGCGAACACAGAAATGTAGATCATTTTTACTGAATACCTACATGAACAGAAATAAGGGATTTCTCTTTCTGTACAATGAGCCAAGCACAGTCCTGACATAAAAGGAGCCTGTATGATGACACTGGTACGCCCCTACAGTAACAGCTGTTATATATACAGAATAGTATCATTCATCCCATAAAATACCAAAACACTTGCCAAATTTTAATATTGCAATCTAAGTATAAGACAATCCACAACAGATGAGTACAACAGACAGGCAAAGCACAGTAAAAATGAGACATTACAAATCATGGTCACTTTAACAAGGGAGGCATAACACCAGAAATGAGGAGGAGTCAGAAAACAGTATAGACATGGGTTCTGGATTTGGGCTGTTGGAAGGAAATGAGGGGAGGAGTAGGTAGCTCTCACAGAAACTGTAGACAAATAACAGGAAGGGGGCAATGGAATGAATAGGAACATATATACCTGGGAATCTATGTACCTGTTTCTTCAAGGGTGTTTCTAGGTACCACTAACCTAACTCTCAAAAGTGCAGGCACCCAAAACTCCTGTTTAAATAAATTAAACCTTTGTTTGGTGGAGACAGTGTTCATATAAACACCTATCACAGAGGGACTGTAGAAGCTGAGCTTCCCCCATATGTAGTGAGGGAAGCTTTTCACTACAACCAAACATCCAGTCTTGGAGGTTTATGGTAAAGCAACATTTTGTTCCTTCTTGCAAGAAATTTTTAATCAATATATTAGTGGGGGGGAAAATGTGCCTGTCAGTACCTATGAAAGGAAAATTGGTGGTGTCATACCATTCCCCCTTGTTAACTTCTGTCCTGACCAAATAGGAGTACAAGAAGATCTGCAGCCATTTTTACCCTTTCATGAGCAAAATTATGCCCACAGTAATTTAATGATGAGTCCAATAGTAATCCAAAGGGCAGAACATTACCTGTCACCAAGGTAGGATGTTATGTTCTTTGGTGGTAGTTTAGAATATGATTGGTTGGGCAAAGGCCCAAGGTGTGTCTGAGCTGTTATGTGCCTCTCAAAGCCAGAGTGCAACAATCTATGCTTTTAAAGTATTTACCCTGTATTACCATAGTGAGATTCCCTGGTTTGCTAAATCTCTTTGACAAGACTATGGAACAAAATGAGAAGTTTGATTGCTCACTTACTCACATGTAGGATTTATTTGCATTCTTTCTCCATAGCACCAATGTATTCTGGCAGTCCTGAATTTCGGATGCAGGGGCTGAATTCTTTCTTCTGTTTCCATTTAAGCAGAAGTTGACATAAGCCCAGGCAGTCAAAGAAGCTATATCATAATTCAGGTCATCTCAGCTATATAAAGCACAATAAAGCCTAGTGTGTATCAGTTATAATTAGGGCATGGTTTAAATCCCAATTATACATCTTTCCTGGAAATCATGAAATTAAGTGATTTTTCACAAAAAAAAAAAAAAAAAAAAAAGTGATTTGCAAGGAAACTGCTTGCTGAGGAGTTCCCCAGCAAATGGCCATATCATGTGGCATTTCTTTGCACTGCCAGGTGAGTCCATCCTCCCCTCCTTCCCTGCCCCCTCCCTCCACCCCCAATCGCTAGTATTGTGGTCCAGTTGTGGGGTGGGCGCCACAATCTGGGTGTGAAAATAGTGGCCTCTGCCATGATTGGGCCATGATACTAGCAAGCTGGACCTGCAATTTAAACCAAGCCCTATTTATAATGTTAAAAACTGCTAATTTTTGAAGAGCTGCCACACTGCTTAGCAATGCTCAGAAACTCAGCGTAGTAATCTATATGTAAAGCAAGCAGTGCATAGCTCATTTTCACTGTTTTTCTTAACCTTAATATTTACAAATTATGGAAATGTTTTTCTTAACCTTCCCCAGCCCTGTGGTGTATGAATGTCATTTTTGGGAGCTTCAGCCAAGTTAAGCTGTTAGGAAGCTGTGGATCAGGAATATATGTTGTCAGTCAGTATTGGAAAGCCGTGATAATTCATTGGCTCCTTGTTTTTCCCTGTTCTCTGTGTCCCATAACTGCTCATTCACCATGGAGAGATGTTCTTTCATTCCTGATTTCAACAGCATGTGGAGAAAACTATTGTAAATACAGCAAAAATAGGGTCCTCCATGAGTTAGCTACACTTCAATTTTGTAGTTGCTGTTGATTTAATCAAAAGCTGAAAGCAACCCATATCATTTTAAACTTCACAGTTTTTCTAATTTCAATACAAACCTGTCTTTGTAGGAAAAGTAATGGTTATAAAAGCACAAGTGTGCACAATGCTATTTTAAAGATGCACCTTTTTTCTTAGCATTGAATTCAAATAGATATAAAGAAATATTAAATGTACATTGCAATCAAAATGTAGATTGCAGTTGAAAAGATGGAGGACTAAGTACTGCAGATGGGGTGTTTAAAGTCTTAATTTCTTTTGCATCTCTTAAAAGCGAATGAAGTTGATGGTTACTTTAATTATTTAACTAATAATATTGGATTTACATAAATTGGCTTTAGTGAAAAGGCTAATAAGATGCAGTTGTGGAGGGCAGCTGAAAGCAATTTGTGTTTGAGTCCAGTAAGAAGTTCAGTACTAAATGGAGTTGCAATTGTACCACTAATTTTGTTTGCTTAGTAGTGAATTTACAGAGAGAACTGCAGAGATTTTTGTGGCTTTTTAACACTATCGTTTAAAATACTAATAATGTATTATTGCACACATATCATAATGCAGGTAACATAATAGTTTGTGGGGCTGTTCCTACTTCGTTTTACATGAAAACAGTAAGACCTCCACATTGCTAGGAAAAGCCTCAGATGTTAACATATTTATCAATTTGTTTAGGAAAGCTTCAGACATTAAACTATAGTCTCATCTTGAGGCCTAAGGATTTATTTATTTTAGTCCTGTTAGTATGGAATGGATGCTATAGGTCAAATGCTGCTCTCAGTCCAACCAACCATTCAAAATACACCAAATTCAATGAGCTGATTGTGTCCATTACATGTGGGCTCAGAGTGTGATATTTGCCCAGGGTGCAGCAAGCCACGCTAAGACCATCTACATTATATATACTCCAGACAGGAGCTATTTTGGGTGACAGTAGCTGGAGCACCTGCCAACAAACTAGCATATCCCCTCTACAGCAACCTGGGAGTAAGTGGGTGCTTCTACACAAGATGCTAAATGCACAATAGACTATTTCTACTGAGCATTAGTGCGTCACAGCAAAAACCTTGTTACTATGCTAATGTGCAGTAGAATTAGTCTACTGCACATTTGTGTCACTAAAAAGCCATGTGCAGTCGCACAGTTACTGCTCATTGAGTTAGTATCTGTTAGCACAGTTACTAAATCT